TGTCAATTTATAACAATCTTCTAATTAGTACAGGCTATTTATTATGTGGAGAGCATATATTCATATAGATTACCCGAGTTAAAAGCTCGTGTAGAAACATTCCGATGTGTATTTTAATCTATGTATTTTAACTGTTCTATAACTTCCGCGAGGAATATCCCATATTTCGGGACGTGTTCACAAAATTGTTAATCAAATTAACGCTCTGTCCAATAAAATCTCATAAAATAGTTCGCCCGTCGCTGATTCATTGAATCGCGGACCTCAAACTTTAATCGGCGAGAATGCGAAGACTTTTAATGATCTTAATTCAACTCTTTAATCTTGAGGAGATATAATAGTTATCAGCTTAGTCCCGATTATCAGTATAGATGCCAATAATTAATTGGAGGATGATCAATTATTGGTTATCCCCGTGGCATTCCCGAGACACGGCCGGCGAAAGTTTTCTTCCTTCCACCATTTTTCTTTGATAAGATTGAACACAAAGTTTTGATATGATCTCGCTAGATCGACATTGTTATACGAGGAAACCGCGGGCTGGGCTGTGTTTTGGAATAATTTTTAAACTAGTTTAGACAAGATCTTGAGAAAAATATTTGTAATAACATTACAACTGCGTATTTTCAACTTTAAATACGATCAGCCAAATCCATTAATTGACTAAGAAACTAGGACAAATTTTTAGTTGCATCTATCTTTCATTCTGTTATAATCTATTTAATTTTAATTGACACGACAATTTTTATCTACGATTTCAAGTCCACTTCGCACATTATATCTGCGTGTCATCCAGCAGCAGTATTTTTGTGCAGGCGCGCTCTCATAAAAATGCCCACTGTCTCGTTTAATCCCATCGCAATGGCACTTCCTTCGGACCCCGGGCTCGTCCGTGCCGATAAACTGCGCGAATTCGCAATCTGCAAAACTAGAAAACAAGTGGCCGGACTTCTGATTTATCGTCCGAGCCGCTCTCGCGCGCGGCCGCGAATACGTATCGTGCCTGCGGTTGATGTATCGTATACGCGCGTACGTATATATACACACGTGAGTGAAACGGCTATTGCAAAGTGACTCGCGATCAGACGAAAATTCAGTTTTGCGATATCGCGCGAGTGGATTTAACACGGGTCCCCTTCTATTCGCCGCGTGCGGTTTTTCCGTGTCTCTTCATTCTGAGCGGTTCAACAGATTCGATTATAAGTTGAGGAATTATATATACGTATAAACTTCTTCTATATCGCAATTGCACGCAACAGATATTTAATATCCGCCTTTTTTAGTCGTAATACAGCCGTAACTTACACACGCGTTAAATACTGGCGTAACGAGTAAATGTACAATTTATACATGTTGCTCGGTCCGTGGAAGCAGCGAATTAATTCTATATTCTCTCGGAGATTTACTCCGACGTGCACGTGTATGTATGTGAGTATTCTACGCGGAATCATAATTTTACAGTATTTAAACTGTGTTTATGACTGTATAAATAATAATGAGATTTTTCGTGAGCTACGCGTCAGGTATGATATTGTTATGCTTCTTTCTCTTTTCATTATTCCGCTGTATTAAAATATTATATAATAAACTTTTACTAAAATGAGAAATTGTAAGGCGTCTAAGAAAGAATGTCGTCTCTCATTCTTTTCCATTCTCTTCAAAAAATAATATTGCACGTAAATATTTAATTATTCGCAAAAATTATTTGTCAAAACGTTCACGCACTTACACAATTTTATTTAAATAGTAGTTCTAAAAGACAAGTTCAAAAGCAGGATTAAATAACATCGATAATTCATATCTCGATTTCCCAAATCCTCCGTTACACGTCGATCCGCGATATTCGTTTCCACAACTCTATCGCGATATTTATGTCGATACACCCTCGTAAAAATCGGACGATGCACTTCGCTTAGTTACGCGCGGTCGAGACAGTTTCCTTCGGGCGCGTCATAAACCGCGTAAATCCGCAATCTACGATGCCGCGAGTCGCCCAAGTTTTGATATACAGCCGCACGGGAGGCGTTTCGCGTGCGGATAGACACCGGGTCAGATAGCGGCGCGCACACGCGTGTGCACACACGCGCTCTCTCGCTGTTGGGGAAAAATGTGACTCCGCGCGCCGCGCCACGGACGCGCTTCCTCGCAATAACCTCCGAAGGGAAATTCACGATAATAGAGACTACCCACGTGAATTTCGCATGCAAGTGTCCCCGCGATCCCACGACGTCTGCCTCCAGGCTCTCCTCCGCTTTTCCGCGGATCCCTCTCGGTCCTCTTCCGTGCCATTCGTTCCATTTCAGCCGGCGTGTGTTCGCACACACACTTTCCAATTTCTACCGGTGTCTCCATAATTTCCGTTACTTTTGCTTTGTTACCTTATTATTTTCTTCCTGATGGTATGCGCTCTCATAACGACTGTCGCGTACGTGAAGAAAAATCGACTTAAGACTCGACTTTTTTCGAAAGGGAGAGAGAAAGAAAGAGACAAATGAGAGGAAAAGTCTGTGTATAAATCTTTACTAAACTTTGTTAAAAAATGTGTTAAAAAATGCATGATATAAAGACGAGAGGTAAGGTAAACCGTCTTTTTTCTCTCCGTTGACTTTATCGATTGTGTTCAAAACTATTTACTTTCGTTTTCATTTTTCCCCGTCTCTTCGCGCGTTTCTCCCTCTATCTCTCTCATATTTATTATCTCAATCTTAAAGAGAAGGAAAAAGACGAAATAGGAAATAATGCAGCGAAGCTTGAATGGAGGGAGGAAAACGCGAAGAATCTCCGGTTATATCTACTTCTTTCCTCCGCAAGTTTCTTCCTTTCTCTCGAACTCCACTCCCTCTTCGTCACCGTCCTTCTATCTGTGAACCGCAATTTCTCTTCTTCCGCGATTGCTCGTTCCTCGTCCCTCTCGGACATTCCCGCTTTTCGTCTCGCGCAGGAGTACACGCGCCCGAGCGCGAGCGGGTCTTCCGTCTTTTCCATCCCTTCGCACCCCTCCCGCCCCCCTCTTCCCTCTCTCGTCCTTCCGCTTCTTTTCATCCCATGCCGTGGCGACCGAGGGGCTGAGCTAGACAAATAGCTTCAGCGTGAAATACCGCCGCCTCTTTAAAACTTTAAAGTGTTTCAAGTAATCCTAAGGCACGACTTTACATCATGGTTGTACCCCGCGGAGGATACACGCGAGCGTGGAGGAGGAAATGGAATATCGGTGCGCCCGGGGTGGGCTTCCGGCTACGCTTGTAGTAACATCCGGCGACAGCAAGATTTCCCGGAAGATCGCGAGGCACCGTAAGTGTACTGTTATTATATCATTATGTTTCGCGAAGTGTATCTGATATATATATACTTTTCTATTATGTCTGTTATTTTAGTCCTTCAACTTGTTTTACCCCCTACGTTCCATTTAATTTTAAATAAATATTTTTGCGGCGCATGCAATCGATAACTAAATATATAAATGTATAAATATACTTATATTACAGTCTAATTATTTGCGAATATATCCTTAGTTCATTTTCTCGCTACGATATATCCGTGTGAGTGGTAAAAGACTGAGACTAACCTTCCTCAACGACTAAGGTGACAGTGGCTGATCGACCCTCCGTCGGTCTGCATGAATAGTTTCCGACGTCATCTTGAGTCACCGCCGCCAAAGTCAACACGGATACCGTACGTGCTGCACCCCTTTCGGTCTCTACATTTATCCCTCCACGCGCTGCCTGGATGAAGAGCAAACAAGTGAATTCAACGATAAAGTAAGTAATAAGGAATTTTTTCAATATTTATGAGATATAGATGCAAGTTTTTCTCATTTTCCATTTGTAATATAGAGCCGAAAGATTTTAACATACATTGCTAAGACCTTATCCATTTTGTCGAAATGTATATAAAATGTATATAAAACCTCTACATTAGTTTTGTTATAGAATTTTATGCATTAATGAATAAATTTGTGTTTTTGTTTCTATATCTCTCACATCATGTTACATGTTCGAATGGAAATTTCATTATGCAAATGCGTATTTTTATGTGTGTCAACGTAAGCGCGATTATTACTACTTGAATCAATGGAGTAAATGCAAACTGTCATTCATGCTACGTAATATACAAGTTTCATTCCAAAATGAAATAATTAAAGTGATAATTAATATGCTAAACTGACAGCGCATAAAGTCGCACATGCAAGGAAATAATGGGACCTAACATACATCCAAAAAATATTGTAATATCAACATCAATTTCATGACAATCTTTTTTTTAACATGCATATCATTATACGGTCGCAAAGCCATTCCGCAAATAGATTGTAATATACATTACAATTTCACGTAACATTTTATATCTTCGAAACGCAAAGAGTCTCACTTTGTGTATATAATAAACAATAAATAATGTAAAAGAAAAATATCACTAAAGAAGACTGACGAGTTTTAGATCGACGTTTCAAAAGACGCGCAACCAGGCAAGATAATCGCGCGCAGTCTCGCGGTGGCAAAACTCGCGTCGACTCTCGCCAAATCGATCAGCTTTCAACCATCACGTATTTCGCGCGAAAGAAACAGCCGACGCAGGCTACCACGCAAACAAAAATGTTGGGAGACACGGGTAGGGGGTAGGGGCCATATGACCCATATCCCTTCGCGTCGGGGCGCGCGATGATATACGAGCGCCCCTTTTTTCTCTCTCCTATCCTTCCGATTCCCGGTCGTCAAACAGAAATTTCATTAGAGCGGCCCGGCCCCGCGTATCCAGCTGAGGCTGCATTACCTGGAATGTTAGGAGTTTGTTATCCCGTAGCCATTGTACACCCTTGATAGGACGGGTCTGATACGGCGACAATATGACGCACCTCAGGGTGATCGTCGAGCCCGATGGCACCCTTTGCTCCCGGGGACCCATTATGTCCGCCACCGGCGCCGTACTCTCGTAGCCTGGAAGTCATGTACGGACAAATATCATGCGGCGGTTGAAGGCAATTTAATGACCGCGTCGTGACGAGATTACGCGCATATCCGATAGTCGAGGGTAAACCGCGGGGGGGGGGGGGAGGCACGCCGCAACGGCGAATTTCTTGACTGAATCTCAAGATTCGGCTGGGATCTTGATTTGAAACGGAAATGCAATCGGGATCCCTTAACCGATGCACTGCTTTAGAAGCGGCAAGCTTGAGTATCAACGTGCTTTAGCATCAACACACGCAATATCAATTCTCTTATATGAAATGCAATTTCGCGAAGTTGAAATTTTATTTGGATTATACATGTATATTGTTTATTTAACGAATATATTAAATTGTGATATTTTTGCGTGAAAAAATTATAGGTATAATAATACGCGCGCGCGCGATAGGCAAACAATACTTTTATTTATCAAAAATAATTTGCGGTTGTTGATTGTAATTGGTAATAATTATTGGAATATTTGTTTTGTTAGACAAGCAGCTCAAAATTGATTAATAAATCAATTGCTAAAATGTAAAATATATATTTGTAGCATTTCTGTATATTTAAATTAAACGCAATATAATCGATATAATAAATACCACCCGATCAAAATTTACTCAGTGTCTAGATGTTATTTACATTTACTTTTACGTCGTGAAAAGAGTGTATAAATGGAAGAGAATATATTTTTTTAAGACACTTAACGTATTTATAAAGAGATTATTCATAAAGAGATTTTCATAAAATCTCGGCGAATGATGTCGAAATGGCGAACAAAGGGCGGCGAGCACAAAGGAATTTACAACTTTTTAATTGACAACGTCATAACGAGTGTGACGTATCGTGAATACCCTCTAATTGATGCAATCCGTTTCTCGGTTTTAATATCTCAACGAGCGAGATTAACGCACTAGACCTCTTCTCTCCCGATGGAAAGAAACACTCTGCAATAGCGCGCTTTTGCGCGCATCATCAAGGGTACTCGACGAATGTTATGTAATGATTTTAATTAATGCCAGCGTTATATATCCACTTTCATTGCGCCGGTGCTCCGCCGTCGACGCGGCACAAAGTAGAGAAAGCTGAGGTAGTGTAAAAAAAACCGCGCGTAGTGACACGCACTCACACGTAGATACACCGTCAAGCTTGTACATTTTTGTTTAGGAAACCAGGGACAAGTATTCGTTTAATGCGCGAGCCGCCGCGCGCGGCACTGTATGCATCAGTCTTTACAAAGTGTATCGTAAATTACCTCCCGCCTTGAAAACTCTTTGGTTCCCTATTACACATGCGATGAATTGCGAACGGGCTTCCCATTACGAACTTTGCTACGTAATAAAGCTCCGTTTTCCTTTTGTAGCGCGTCCCATCCACGCACGGTTGCCTTTCGTCTTTACATATTTTGAGAATATCATGCTAACTCTCTTTATATAGAACTGAGTATACATAGATTTTCGAAATAGTACATATGTATATCGTCATAAGATATTAACCTGAGCGAAGACCTGATGCGCTGAAAATTGCATGACATGAATTTAAGTGATTATTATGGAATATTATGTCGAGAGAGTAGCATACAGTAGTACTGACATAATTTAAAATCATTGCACACGAAAATTATACTATTTGTAACCTGATCTTGATAACCGATGTAAGCTCTCTCTGATTAGATTAATAATTCATCATCTCCGAAGCAGAAAAGAAAAATAGCCGAAAGAGTGGAGTTCTCCGTCTCCGTATAAAAATATCGAGGCTCGTATACATTATTCAGTACGAGGATCGCGGTCGGGACTCATTTAGCGGTTCAACCCCTGTCCCTTAGAACTCTCAACTCTCGGTGGCCGAAGAAAAGGATACGAAGAAGCCAGGACCGCGGGATTAAGGATAATCCTATTAGACTTAAATGAATCCGGCGACGACTGCGTTCCCTCTAGCGAAATATTATGTTATGCTGTTATTACTGTAAACTCGCTCGCCGACGTTTCTTTTTTGAGCGTGCAGTCTTGCTTGCTCTTTTTTTTTGCGTCGCCGAGAACTTTGTAGATAAATTCTCTCATGATCCACTAGTACCCACCGCGAGTTGCAATACCCAAGTGCAAATTCTTCATGTCAGTGTATCAAGCATATGCTGGAGTTTTTATCGAGTTTTATCCGATTATGTATGTTTTCTAATTACTTGTTGTAATAAAATTAAATATTATAATATAGTTCAATGACGAAATGCGATAATAATACCGAATACGTAATTTATAACTAATAATAATTTGTAATCATTAAATTATACTATATATGTACCCGAAACACGATTGCGCGGAGAAAAAAATTTACTATGCTATTGTGTCACATTATTATTCGTATACACGCGGCGCGTCGTACTTCCATTTGCTTTGTTCCCTTTATTTATCTGTTATGAAACTTCGACAATATAGCTGGCAGCGATCTGTGACTATCTTTAAGTCTCTCATAACATCGCGAACAAGCGAAAGAAGAAACTTGGCGCGAGTATATTTATTAGTCGGGTGAAACTGCATGGAGTGTGTTCTGAGCGGAAACACGTACGTGATACGAAGAGAAATATTCACGGTCGCAACTTTGCCATTAAGTTGATAGTACCGCAAAATAGATGAAAACATATCGCAATAATGAGAAAGTAAGGCGTGATGTCCAAAGAAATAATTAATTTCATCGTTCGCGCGTTCGTATTTCTGCGTTCTGTATTTCTGTAAAGACTAAAATCACGCGATTAACGATACAAGTCGCGGTGCTTCGGCAACATTTGTGAGATTTCCAATGATTTTGAGCGGCGCGGTATCAAGAGTAGACGGGTATCAAGCTCCTCGATATCGAGAAAACGCAGCTTCTCGTAATCTGCCGTCCCGGCGTAAACGAAAAAGTGTAGACGCCGGAACATCGAAGGCGTCAAGCGAGAGAGGACGACGTGTCTAAAATAAAACGACGTTACTTAAAAAGAATTATGAAGCGGCTGAAGAAAGTTCGCAAGAAGAATCGACGACGACGGATCACGAGCGTCAAAGCCAGGACGGTGTCGCACTTATCCTTAAGTGATTGATGTCGCTCGGTTCTGTGAGAAAAATAAAAAGCAAGCTTCTAATGATTTTTTAAAGGGTGTTCGGTGTACTACGACGAGAACGCCCCGGAGTTTATTAATATATTTATGAAAGATGCGATACACGTTATCGACGTCGACGCCCGAGACTTGCTATAGTCCTTCAATACGATATTTCAATAATATTTTTAATAATCTTTAATTGTTCATTTTCATTGTCATATTTATCTATCGTGTTTGTTTGTCACTTACAATAAATGTTATGTTTCGCGGGAGAATATTTGCAATAAAATTAGAAATAATATTAAAGCTGCGGTTAATCAATAATTGTTGGATGTGTGTATTACGAACTATCGCCTTCAAATATCGAATATCGGCGATATGCGAATTTAGACTCGAAACGGTCGAAGCAGTTCGCCAGGTGTACGCGTACGCTATGCAGATCTGATAATAAACTTTCATATAATGCACTCGCTACAGTTTCACAGGGTATTACAGTGAACAACAGAAATAACGCTGTTTACTCGCCCAAAAGTTTGCCACCGACTGTCTAAAGCGGTAAACAGGCATCGCGCAAGTTCTAAACATACGTTGTAATGTTACACTCGTAAAAGCTCAACCTAATCTTCCGTATACGCTATTGACCGTTACATCTAATTCACTGGATTTTACGTCTGTAATATTGGTGTAATTTTTAAGTTAATGTAAATTTTAGTAAATCCAACGTGTTCATATATGTTTCTAAATTCGCGATTTCCACAAAAAATAAATAATACAACAAAAAAATAATATAGATAAAAAAGACACAATAAACATTAATGTATATGAAAGCAGTAATAAAAATATATCAATTTAATAAAATGTAATTTTATTGCAGATAACAAATTGTTGATGGAAATAGCAAGAAAATTTATTTCTAATCTACATTTACAAAATATCTGCAATTAAAATTAATTCAATAATTAATAAATTTAATTCTCTTTTAAAAATCTTCAATAATTAGTTGTATTAATCATGTCACTCAAATCGCTAAAATATTGTTCCAAAGTATCTGCAGATATACATAACTTAATAACTAATAAATCTAATCCCTCTTTTAGAAATCTGTATAACAGTTAGTCGTATTAGTCATGTAACTCAGATCGCTGAAATATTGTTCGGTGAAATACTAAAAACAGAATTAATGGTGACAATGATACCTTACAGGGGGGATGCCTTACATTTGTAATGATTGTATTACAAGAAAGCGCGCTTTCTTTGCTTTTGATAATTATCAGTAAGCTTAGCGCTGTACCTCACGGCTGATTAATCGCGCTTTTTCCAACTGATGCAATCTTAACGACGATTCAACCAGTGCTTTCGGTCCCGCTACTTTCCGAGTGGCGAAACAAAGCGAAAATTGCCAGTCGTTGGCGATGAAAGTTATATTTTTAAATTCCTCGGTAACTGGGTCAATCTTTGCACCCGAGGGAATTTTACAGATTTATACCGGTGAATATTTTTATTGTGAGGTGATGTTCATATTGTGACGTTCATCGCGCGTATTTTATTACGTTCATCATTCGTGGCGCGCATGCCGATAGAATGCAGAAACGGATGAATTTGAAAGGAGGGAGAGAGAGAAAGAGAGAGAGAGAGAGAGAGAGAGAGAGAGCAAAAAAAAGAATGCATCCTATCCGCGGTCCGCGAAACTTTCAACGAAGTTTTGATTGCATAATTGTACGCTTGTCCGAGTTTCGTGTCGATCAAGAAATTCATAAAATAATTTGCATGATATAATTTCAAACTGCGCGATACAGACGCCCCATTTTATACACACTCGCGCTCACCCGATTTGGCTAATGCTGATTACGCGGGAAATTAATTATGCAAGTCTGCGCAAAATATTATCGCTGATATCACAGACAGTGAAATAAGTTTAGCGCCAGTGAAATTAGAATCACAACAAAATGCAAATACGCACGGTACAGCCATATAAATGCGTCGATAATTAATTTCGATTGTTCGAAAATATGAGAGATTTAACTAGCAACACAAATCTTTTGAAACAAAATTTATGCAGTTCAACAAATAGTAAATATGAATAAAACGGAGAGCTTGCTCTTTTTAAAAATTATATTTATGAGTGTAGAGCATTTGTAACGATCATGTAATACAACAATATAAAACAAAAATAATCTATTTTTGGTTTTAATCGAATGGTATATTCATTGAAAATCAAGTATCTTTAGATATTTCTACGTTTCAATCAAATAAGTCGTATTTTTATCGTTTTATTTTACACAAAATTGAAACGCATGATTTCGCACGATGTTCTATAGCTAACAAAGTTTAGTTTACCATTTTAAAATCTTTATTGCTATTACCGACGGTCTGTTCAGTGTTAATAGGGAGCGTTTCAGTCATGTCTTTAAATATACGACCGATTCGATCGGCATGGACTGGAACTAAAGGAACGTTACGCTCATATATGTCACAAACGCGCAAGCCAGAAATACGCATCACGTCTGCGAGGTATATATACTTACTTATACGTGTCTGCTGAGAATGCGGCTCGTCATAGCCCTCCGGTTTGTCCGGTTCTGAAAATACATAAGCTTTCAATGATAAAATATTATCGTGTCATCGAAAGAAAAATGCTATAACTCAATCGTGAATTTTAACGTGATAAAAATAAAATTATTTTATTGACTCATTTTACCATTTGTATTATTTTATGCGGCAAGAAATAGTTGTTTCGTTTTTTCAAGATGAATATGTGTCGAATGTATTTTTAATGTATTCGACTCTTATGTGTTTGCATTACGTTGTTGCGTAAGAACATTTAAACTTCCGTAAAAGTTTAAATAAAGGTTGTGATTTTTATTTGTATAAAAACATAAATGTCGAATTTTTCTGTCGTAAAGCGTCATATGGGGAGGCAAACGTGAAGGACGAAATGTGAAGTGGAACGACAATCACCTCGCACAGAAAGCTGCACTGCATACATGATCTTCGGTTCCGTATTGACCTGGCACTCGTACTTGCCAGAATCCGTCTTCCTGGCGTTATCCAGCCTGAGAGTCCAGGCGTCGCTGCCTGGGGTGTGCTGGGGTCCGAATCGCGCATCCGAGCTGAACGAAAAATTTCCCGAAGTGAGGATATGGAGATCTCTGCTCCTCATCCAGGAAACCTTAAATCAAAAATGCAGGTTGCTAGAATGAAGAAAACATGGTCTCCGTGCTTCAGGTGAATTTTTTAGATTCAATCTTTTGGTCCTTCCTGTGTCGTTCGAATAATGTTATGACTAATGCAAGTGAACAAATAGTGCAGGTGCAGCATCAAAAACAATTATTTCTTAAATTAAGTTTACGAGTATATAATAATGTTTAAGATTTAAATTCAATTAAAATGTATGATATAAACTTTTGACACAAGCATTTATATATTTAACTAAATGCAACCCGTGTTATTTTCATAACTTTCATAAATATATTTTATTTCCTGCCATTTATTAATACTAAAAAAATAAAAATGCGAACAATTTATATGTTCCAAATTCTATGTATATTACATTCAATTTCAATGAGAAAATTCAAAAATAATCTTTTCACTTGTGCATGCAGAAATTTTAAAAAATTTAAACAATATTCTGGAAATGTTCAACACTACCGTGTTGGATTGTGTAACATTTCTGGTACACATGCGAGAAATTTTCGGGCAAATGAGAGTTTGAGGAATGTAAACCTATACTTCGTAAAAAAATTCTTCGTTGCAACAGTACATATTAAAGATGCTGATATGGACGTGCATGCGATAATGGCGGCTCTCGGGGAGCGTAAAGTTGCCAGACTGCCATTGACGACGCTCATTTGTCAGGACGGTGTCATTTAGCCGATATGCGAGACCGCGAACGCCGACTGACGCGGTCTTAAAATCCGAGAAGTCTTACATGCACTCTAAATCAGCATATCCCCCGCTGTGACTTATTTCTCCTTCGTTCCGCGACTACGTTATCTGAACACGTAACGCGTCGTGTAATACATAATAATACATTACGACGTGACGATAATAAAGTTAATGAAGCAGAAGCGAGAACATGCGGCGCGAAGGGTGGTAACGCGACGATGGGCGTAATGGCGCTAATGGATGCTCGATTACTCGAGCGGCACGCAATTATTATTAATTATCATCGATACTGTATTAGTGATAGCGTTTTAGTGGTGACCGGCATTCAGCTCCTCTCGTTTAAAAACTTTGCTCCATTGAAATATCTATTCCATATAGTACTATAATAATATTAGATAAAAGTGGGAAATAAATGACTTTGGTCTTTTTTTTTCAAAATTCAGCTCTAATATTACTCTTAAATAATTTTGGTTTAGTCTTAATTGTTATGTTTCTGTGCCAAATAATTAAATGAATTTAATAATCAGTTTTATATATGTACCTATATCTATTCATTATATTTTGGATAAAAATTCTAAGTTTTAGACGTTTATATTAGTTGCATAAATAAATGTTTACGCTAGTGACATAAAAAACATCCACTTATATTAGAAGTACTTGAATATTTTTCAATACATATAATATTATTGACACTTTTTATTTGTTTGACTATATAATTTATATATGAATAATATTATAATGTACATTTCCTATTTTTCATTGTTTAAATAGAATTTTTAAACAGACAAACACATAACGAGTGAAGAGGACTTGAAGAAAATATACGCATTTTAAGCCAACTGCGAGCGTCAGATAATTCTTTCTGATTACTCATTTTCTTTCTCGTCCTTTCCTTCGTTATGTTAAAATATCGCACAATCTATTTTAAAAACATTACTAATACGAGTAAATCTCAAAACAGGTTAACACCATCTGCAATTTTACTGATTAACATTCGTAAACATGTATATACACAGCACCAACGCAGCTAATCGCCACCATTTGAAGTATAAGTTAATTATCATTATAGCTTTTGCGGAAATAAATATATAAAATATTATTGCAAAACACTCAATAATTTATTTGTCGTGTGACTTTTAACTTTTCTATGTATCTAATTAATAAAACTACAAAATATGCAAATTTCTCTTGACTGTATAAAAATACGGTTTAATAAAACAGCAAGAAATTCGCGTTTTTTCTTTCTTAAGCAAAATAAATGCAAAATGTAACATTCCAGTTATAAATTAAAATAAATATATCTATATATAACTGGCATAAATGTCTTACTACTAATTAGTCTTCTTAACAAAAATGTTTGGCTGTCCATATAATAATTATCGAAAATTGCTATGACAGTTTAAAATATTTGCTCTATTAGCACATCTTTTTTCTGCATGCTGCTTCGCATTCTGAAAAAAGTAACTGATATCGATTCTTCTCTTCAACGTGAATTTTCTTGTACATCCAGGTTCGTTGAGCCTTCCTAATGGAATATTCAGTCTCAACGGACTGAAGTCAAAGACGAACCGAAATTTTTGCGAGTGCAGCATCGCTAGAGCAAAAGGTGCAATCCGATGAATATGGTTACTGGACAGTGCTTATCTGATTCTCATATTTTTTGGCACTCGGCCGGCCAAACGGTCGGATATTAGATATCCGGTTATCGGCTGGTAGTCATTTCCGGTCTATACCCAGTTACCATTTTCCCATTGGCTATTCCGCGAGGATGCCTTACCGTGTATTAGCTTCGTCGATGAACGCCTGAGAATAAACGATGCGCCTGATGATTTGTTGCCATTCCGGTGTATCAAAAAATGGTTATCGATTCGTCGCCGCAAAAACGTGAGACATCCGCCGTCACATCAGCTTAGAGCGGGTTTTGATAACGTTATAAGTAATGATAGGGATTACGAGCGCTATGCTAATTTTCAGCTTAATCTTGTATATTTGAAGTTTTTGAGATCCGGATCGAAGGATATTTATGGCGATACAGAAATGTATTGCAGAGTATATTTATCATGCAATTATGTATATATATTTGTGTACTTGTGTAATTATAAATTTAAATCTTCGATCTTCGAAACAATTATTTTTGCATTATTAGATATAATAATTCTCACAGTGACTTTGTAATCTTAATTCCAAGATCAAAAACTCAAGAAGTTAATTCTAACAAAATCTATTCCAAGAAAGTTTATTCTCTAAGAGAAACGCACTTAAAATACTTTTAAGACGCATTCTCCTATTTAGTTTCCTCTTATTCGAGGAATTAAATCGTGCAGACTTTTTTTTCTTCGATTCATCACTAACAGTGCCGTCGAACACAATCGAGAATGTCCCATCGACGTGACATCGAGACTACGAGAAAGTCCAATAATCTGGACGACAAAAAAAGAAGGCAGCGGCGGGCGCGTAGTCTCGAATATTCCGTCGGCGTGGCTGTGGGACTCGAGATTTATCGTCGTTATTAAAACAAGCGCGGTGATACACGAGCGATCTCTGGTCGGGCGAACGTAGACATTATTCAAAGGGGAACAAAAGAAGTCTAGATTAATCGGTAATTAAATCGACGGCGGAATACCGCGGTACACTGATACGCGAGCGCACCCGCGACTTGCTTCTCCCCGATTTTATCGGCCTGATTCGTGGGTTGATGCATTTGATGTATTTGATCATCATCGGTCCCGTGTGTGCGCCGCACGGTTTTAATGGAGCGTCTCGTTCTAATAAAAATAATCCGATATGTACACTTTATTGTATCATTATAAATCTTTGCGTATCTACGATCGTAAAAAAAAAATCTGAAACATGCGAGAGACAAGTAGAGAAATCAAACTCGTTAATACATGCACCGTCGAGGATAATCGATGCAAACAATATTTTTGTATTGAATAATGTATTAAATGCCCTATTTCTTCAAATTGCTCTCGTTTCTAAAGAAGCACGTTCTAGCCAAATCGCAGTCGTTCCTGAATACAAAGCAAGTAACAGATTGTACGACACGTATGTGTAATGTAATGTATGCTTATATATACGTAAGCGACATTGTAAGGAATAAGCAAATCTATAATTAACTAAAGGTTTCTCACGTTGAATACGCAAACGCGTAATGATTCCGGCAAACGCAGAATCGGTAAAGGACGCGCCGACGAGCAGGATTTATGCGTAACGTGCTCTTGTATGACGCGGAAGTATAAATTATTGCTAAGAATTTGATTATATGCGAATGCAACATATATGCGTCATATTAAACAATTATTCAAACAAAAAGTGAATTTGCCCGCGTCGTGCAAATATGTCGCCTACCAGAGATTCATGTGTTTAAATTTAATTACAGTTGGAAATGATCGCGTAAGAATTGACCTCCATCCTTCTTTCATGTATGACAATTGTTAGTTGACTATAATCGGCAGTAAAAGCTAATTTATGAATTTTCATGTTTCAACGTCGGTAAACATTTATGTTATTAATGAGATAAATTTCAGGCTTTCGAAGAACATAGACATTACGCGCGATTTCACGCTTACAACTCGTAATTTATTATATATAGAATTATGTTTCAATAAATAGCAAGTTATCCCCTTGGATGTCAATAATTTTGTAACAATAAAATTTCATATTTGGCAAAGGTATTAAAAGTGATCGCATTTCATTGTAGTAGAACTGAAAAGAATCGGTTTAGCATGACGGAGTATAATTTTGTCCTCAGCAAAAATTATCGTTAATTGTAAGCCTTGATAGATTTAAAAATATTTAGAGCTACGAATTTCCTATAAAAAGATATATATTTCTAATAATTTTCATACATGGTAAAAATAATACAAATCTCACACCAGACCTATATAGACCATATATAGCGGATTATAATAATCTCATTTAAATCTTGATCAGACTTTCTCCGGGGAGGGAAAATACCTCCAAGACCATAGAGGAATCCGCTCTTAGCGGAATGCACAACTACATAATGCAGCGTCGTGAGGAAAGGTTGGTTTGGCAATAACATTAGAGCGAGAGGGATTCCACCATGCGGCACAACACGTTATACGGCATGTTGCAGCGGGGGTGTGGCGGTGTATCATGGCATTTGGTCGTACGCCAGTGTGCCTGAATATACCTAGGATGGCCCAAAATAGAACTGGCTTTGAGGTCGCGAAAGAGGAAGAAGCGAAAACGATGACGGGGGGAGGAAAGGAGAGGACGCGGTCGGGGGGTCGGAGGATGGAGACGCCACGGCTGTTAAGG